ATTCCTGGCAGTGACATGGTGTGAAACAAAGAACCTTGTAGTTTACAGATTATATTTTTTTTCTTTTCGTCTTGTTCTAGATTGTCCAAAGATCTTTATCTAATGGGGATGTACATATGAAATATTACAGGGCAATTAGGGATCTAAATATAGTTTAACTTAATATTTCTGGCTTTTTATATCCATTTCCAAACGGATCTGTCAGAAATTTTATCTGACTGCCAATTTACCAAAGTTTATAACTCTCTAAAAGTTGTAAAAATATAAGGTTTGTATAAAACTATTATTTATTTTATACTTATGTTGTTATAAATAGATTTGGGAAAATCTTGTACTCAGAATTCAGATCCCAGTGAAGCCGACTGTAAATAAATGTTTAATAAAGTTCATTTTTATGTTTTCTATTCAGTTTCCTAATAATAAATTGCAGTGTCTTTAAGTGAATGCTAACATTTCCTTCCATCTTTGCTAAATAACGTTGGCAAGAAAGAATTCAGTTTTTCTTCTGAGCCAAAGTTGATGTACGATTTGTAGCATCTGAAGTGCCTGTTTAAAAAGGCCTTTCAGCGTTTTAACCACAGAGTTGGAAGCTTCAATTCCTTCTTCATTGTTTGCAACCTAGAACAGATTGTAGCCAAATATGAAAAGACAGCATCTCCTCTGTAAATGAACCAAAGAGAAACGTTGACAGGTCAAAAATTGATCACTAGCTCACAATACTGTGTTCTTTAGATGCCAGAAATGACAGCCTCATATCTCAATAGTTAAGCATTTTGAACCTGAGTCACCTTTTCCTCAAAGCATTTTTTAAAATCTTGTTAAACAAGATTTCAGTCACTTCATTTAAATTCAATGTGATGACAAAAATCTAAAGTGTGTAACATCTGAACACTTGTTGTGTGCGGCAACACAGCCGTGCACTTGACGAGGTCTAAAAGGAGGTGAGAAGAGCAGATAAAGAGTTGTGAAAGAAGCATAACGGGGCGCAAGTTCATCACTTCGTCTTGAACCGAGAAAGAATCTCGTCTACGTCTCACGGTTCGGTGCAACGTGACAGCCGTGAAGCATGGAGTTCGGCGCATCTCTGTGCAACGGGGAGCTGAGATTGTGTTTGCAGGCGATCTCTTGAACTGCAGAAGAATCCCAAATGCAGATCCGACACCTGGCATTCACTCACGCCCCGCAGGCACAGCCAGAAGATAGCAAAGTTCACACTTCAGCTGGAATGCAGGCTCGTTTTGCAGAACGTTACAAGTTCATACACCACTTGGATGGATGTCGGTGACTGTGTGGTATCATGCACTCACAAGATTTTATCAGAGATGATGGTTCCGGCTGACTGACAGACCAAGACATCCACCTCTAATATAACATGTCCTTGGATTCCCATCAATCAGAAGAGTGTTTAAATAGAAATGCGCTCCTGGCTGATATCAAAATATTTTTATTATTTTAGGAAAACTGGGGCAGGAAAAAGTAGAAAGATGTGAAAAACTATTCGTCGCCTGACAGATTTTTTTTTCTTTTCTATGTTTAGACTATCATATAAATTTAAACATCAAAGATAACTAGATGCAATTAAAATGCTTGTCAAATTACCTTGTTTAGAAGAAAATGTATCTAAATCAAAATGACCTCCTTGTTAAAAAAATCAATGGATTATAATGACCATGTTTTTGGAGAGGTGAGTTCAATGTCACTATCAGACCTGTAAAATTAAGAAGTACCTGTCTGGCAACATGAAGTAGACTAAATCCGTGTTGTTCAAAGTGAAGGCCACCAGGAGGTGCTCAGGGAGTTTTAGAGCTGGAAAAAAAAAAGCATAAATGAAATTAAATGTTACAACCATATATTTTTAATTGTATATATTTTTTGTATCATAAAGTCTGTTTATTAATCAGTATTATGAAAAATAACCTCAAATAATGTATTTATATTTTATTTGCTGTGCTCATTTTTCTGACTGGCAGATTAACGGAGCTGCTGGGCTCCTCGTGACACCGCTCCGAGAAAAAACCCGCCGAAGAAACTCCTGACCAAATAAAATCAGAAGATATGAAGCAGCACTTATGATGGACAAATATAGTAATTATTGAATAAAAGTGAGAATAAGCATTCTAAAATACCTTGATTTTCCAATTTCACTAAAGTCTAATTTATTTTAAGTCGTATTTAAGTTGCATTTTTATAACTACTGAAGTCGACATGGTCACCACAGTATCCAATGAAATGGCACCCTGTGCCTGGAAAACATGTATCACTGCCCCTTTAAAACGTCATTTCACAACCTGAAAGATTTAAGCAACACAAAAACGTTTAAAAGGAAAAGATCTCCAAAGCGACACTGAAAATCTGCCGCATCTTCACTGAATAGAAAGATGACCGCTTGAAATCAAGTTGAATCTATTCGACCTTTGCCAAGCCCCTTTGTGCTGAATCATGCTGCAGAGTGCTGCATACTTTTGGAGGAAAAGTGAAACCTGGCAGCTCCTTTTGACCCCATCGAGCCGACAGCCAAACACCTCACGAACTTTCCCTCCGCTCCTTCCCTGGCGGGCTTAATGGTGTTTCGCCACCAAGACTCCAGAATGAATGAAAGGCAGATAAAGTGGGCGCGAAGGGAAATTGAATGGAAAATGATTAAAATTGAGGGGAAATGTTTCATTTTCTCAATGAGCTTTAGAAATTCTGCCTGGGCCCCAACTCTGACTCTCAAGTATCCAATCAGTGTTTGAATAGCTGAACAAATTAGGAATTTTCATGTCATTTCCTGTATGCCATCGAACGAACAACGTTTCTCCTCCATTTTTTCCCCCCGAATCACCGGGGTACAAATAAGATAAGAGTTTTAATTTATGATAACTCTGACCTAACAATTGTTGCATTGTCTGCACTCCAAGTCATTAAACTAAACCTGACAAGTCAAACATTCAATAGAAAGAGAAGTCGATGTAATGCTGCGCAGACCTTGTTATGCATGAAACTCTTAGGTTAATGGAAGTTCGTTTTATCTTTTTTAATACACACCTTTTTGAAAGTCTAATTAATGGACTGCCACTCACTTGGTGGGGTTAGGGGTGGGGGGGAGACTCGTGTCAGCACCACTTAGGCCTGTTCTTGTAGAAATATGTTCAAACCTCACCTTGAGTGGGTGGCAGATGGTAATGGGCTGGTTGTCACAAAAATAGACAGTGAAAGTGCAGGCGAGCGATTTAAAGTAAACGGCTCTCCTGTCACAGACAATAGCAGCGGGAGGAAGGAAAACTAAGAAAATTGATGAGTCTGGTAACTACTGTAACATGTCGGTGTTTTTGTTTCAGCCTAGTGCATAGTTGAGAAGTGAAAGAAAAAGAACACAAAATATGTTGAAGGTATTTACTGTATGAAAAAGTTTGGTGTGTGTTTGTGTTCTCTCTGCTCTGATACCTCTAAATTATCCCAGTAACAGAGAAAGTTGTGGTTGAGTTTAAAACTAACTCTGATGTTTTAAATTTCACCCAGTCGCTAGTGCACCAGTTCAATGCTATGAAGCTTCCCGGAAATGGCTTGTGCTGTAAACAACCATCCTCCACCGCAGAGAGACGAGTGCCAAGCCAAACAGGACGGCCGTTTTAATGTTGATTCAATATTTGGAAGCGTGGCCAACACGCTTCCTCTGCTGCCACTGCCAAACCACGAGCAGACTGCGATTCTGAAACGGCGCAGAAAATCAGCATCGCCGTTCGCCACTTCTTTCTGTTTCTTGATTGGCACAGTTGAATTTCTACTGGAAAAATCCAGTTCAATGGGAGAAAGCCCAGACAAGGCACTGAAGGGAAATGAGAATCGAGTTGAAATCCATAGGAAGTCAATAGCCAAGATAATTCAATCCAGACATTAAAGTAACCACCATTATAAAAAGAACACATTTTCTTACCCAGTAAACTTTATGCTCACAAACAGCTGCAGCCAAATTCTACATAAATAAAGTAAATCAACTGTGTTTATTACTGGGATGTATGAAGACTTTATTTCTTTAGAGTTCCCAGATGTGCACCTCGTATGGTAAAGAACTTTCCAGCGAAAAGACTGGCATTGCATTTCATCCCATGTGACTGGAGTTTAACATTTTTAAAAATTATTTTTACATTGACTGCAACTAGTAAAAAAGCAACAGAAAATAACTTCAGGGTGCAGCAGACAGTTAAGTAAGCTACATTTCCCTTATCCTTTATTGGCATTTTTTCCCCTTTAAATCCAAGACTTCAATACTTGAACTTCAGACAAACTGTTTTCAACAGAGAGACTCTTTTCTATGGAGTTTGCCTCCAAAACTGCAATTCCCAATCATCAGCCATCTTACAAATATGGCAGTCGCTTCCTGTTACATGTTTAGCTTCAATCACTTTTATTAAGATTAACGATGGAGAGGCTGATCATTATTTGGGTTTCATATGTTCAATCACAATGTGATATTTGCCATTTCAGGAGTTACGGTTTTCAACCCATTTGTAATGATGAGTATGTGGCAGGCTGCATGATGGAGCAGACAGCCCGACTAATTAATGTGGCAGCAGTTTAACAGGGCAGCAAAAAGTGCAGTTGATATTACAGCATTTAAACACCGAATGTACCTAAAAGTAATATTCAACTAAATAAAAACAATTCATATTTATTGAGCTGAAATAGTTCAGAAGCAAAATTGGGACATTTTCCTGTTGGCTAAATACTCTGGAAGTCCAGCACTTCTAATGAAAGGTAACAGCGAGAATCTCTGGATTTATTTATTTATTTAGCTGTCATCGATGCGAGATTCACGTGAGGATCAACATGATTGGTTCCCTCAGGTGGAGGTATGACTTTGACTTCTTCTCTGGTACTCTCTGCTCGCACGCGCAGCTCTGAAAGCCTGCGGCGGTGAATTGTATCGCTCCCCGGCAGACCGAGACCGAGGGGCGGCTCGGTACGCTCCAGCCCGCCCCGTGGGTGTGTTCACAGGCGAATGGGCCTCCGCATCCACCTGCTAGCGCCCTGCCTCTCCCCCCACAGTCACACAGGAGCTTCCAACTTTCCAGCGCGCCACGCACAGCGCGCTGTCGGACCTTACCTTTCTACCGCGGGGACTTTTTTTTTTCCTTTTGTACCTTTTCTGCTCGCTTGTCTTTTTTTTGTGTGTGTTTTTTTGTTTTGTTTTTTTCTTCCACCACTTCTCCCACGAGATGTCGACTGCGCTCGTGCGAGGAGAGCCTGTATTCGCCTCGCGCTCTCGGACAATGATGAATTAGAGAAACATTTCATGTTCTCGCTCCCCGGCTGCTCACTGACAACTCCGGGGCCAGCGCGCGCGCGCGCTCCGCGCAGGTACACAGACGGCCCCGCCACCGCGCCCCTGAACGCAACACGGGCCGCTGAAGAGCCGCGCAGGGATTTTCTATTATTATTGATTTCAGCTTAGAGAAAGAGAGACAGAGAGAGAGTGATCGATCTGTTGGGATTGGCTTTTCCAGTGGCTTGCAGGGTTGGATCTGAACTTGTATTACGGAAAGCTGTGAGGTAAGACTGATTTTACTTGTTTGAATTATTCCCTTTTGTTATGCATAATGTACAATATTAAATAAAAATTAATAAACGCGTAGAAAACACCGACTTGATTAAAAATGTATATGTTTTCCAATATGACAATCTCATTCATTAAAAAAAAGAAAAGAAAAAGAGAGTGTAGAGATTCTGATCAATTTCTGAATGGATTCCCACAAGATCATTTGAGAGTATTTGTTGAAATCGCTCTGCAGTTTATTGTGCGCTCTAATACCACACCAGACTGTTTACAGTTCTGCCTCCCATGTGTGGCCAAGGCTGCCAGTCTGTCACACTCTGATTTCAGTCTACAGCTCTTATTTCTCAGGAACACTGAAACATCCCGCCTGGCTTTCTCTGCGTTTCCCTTATTTTAGTTGCAAGCCAAACGCCGTGGATTGTCTCCAGAATTGGAAGCAACTGAGCGTGAATCAACCAACATGTTTTGTCTTGAAATAACTGAATCAGGCAAAATGAAACGGTGAAACAAAACACACATGACAAATGTGGGTTTTAATGTGCTTTGTAAATGTGATTGTATTGTCTGAATGCATGGTACTTTCTGAGGGAGGAGATGCGTTTGGTTTTGTAGTATGATGTAGAAATGCACCAGTCAGCCTTTTACTGGCTGATATCAGATTTCTGATTTACTTTAGGTCTGAGTTGCCGATTTCATTTTTTTAAATTTTCTTTAGGACTATCATAAGTAGACTGTAAATGTTATAATTTTTTTCCCTATTGATATAAAAAAGTGTGTAAAAACTATGTGGTTGTGATGTGTTTAGAAACAAGAAATTGTGTGAGTTGTTAGTTTTGATGCATTTAACAAGCAAAACAGAAATCCTGATTTTCAGTGTTTGCCCTGGCCCCCCGCCGAGTCGATACGGAAACAAAACTGGTCAGTACCAATCTGGTGCATCTCTAGTAAAATGCAAGCGTGCGTGTCCTTTACACAGTCCACAGTGTCGGTTCGGGGTGCAGCGCCCCGTTTGATGTTGTGTGCTTGTGCGAATAAGGACTTGGCCTCTGTCTCCGAATAAACAGCTGGACAGTTAACAAATTGTCGATAAACAGTTGAGGTTTAAACAGCTGCAGCATGCTCATAAATCGACCCACGTCTCTGAGGCCCACGCAGATCTGCCGAGGTCTATGAAGGTGGGTCCAAACACTGGAGACTGGATGAACCCAATTAGCCCTAACCCTAAAAAAAAGTTTAATCAAGGACAGGAATGGAGTCTTTTTGTTGATCTATGAGTTATGAATCAGCAATCGCCCCTCGTGTCCATTAGTCATTCCTTAAGATTAATTGATGCTCCCTTCTTAGTGGTTTTCAAGGCTATATAAGCGCACTGGTCAGTTCTTTCATCATTTATAATCCAGCTATCTGGTTCTTTCTGCAGCAAGTAACATTTATTGTCTTGATTGCACCAATTAGAACATTTCAGAAAAAAAGTTCTATCTTTCTAGTAATCTCAGTTGTAGCCTGGCATTAGGTAAACCTGTAATCACAGGGCAGGAGCAGCAGCGCACGTGTGCTGTCATGAAGCAGGAATGCGTTCTGGACGGAGCGGGGAGAAGAAGCCTTCTCCCAGGAGAGTCGGAGCGCTCTCTCTCTCCACTGGTTTGTCACACTCTGGAAAACAAACATAATCTTTCCCAAATGGAAGTGCGTGCACATCGCTAAAAGCTTGGCTCCCCTTTGTCAGGGCTCATCAGTTTTTATGGTGACTCCAAGAAAATCTGGGCGTCATTCCTGCACCTCAGCTCTCTCGCTTTCTCTCTGCCGCCCAAAGCAGCAGTCGATGGGGCCCCTGGGAGCCGTTGGTTTGACACATCGCATAAATTGATAAACAAAACCAGACTTTCTGTGGGAGATTTTATGGAGTGCATGGTTGCGCCAGCATCTCCCCTTCTCACATGTTTGTGTTTGTCTTTGCAGATTTAAAGAGAGAGCGTGCCGTTGGAGGTTTGTCCACCATGAGGCTGGATGATATGTGGACGGTGCTCGTCCTCCTGGTGCTGTCCAGCTTGACTTCGGGGAATCAAATCAGCAGCAACGAAGTAGTTGCCGCACCCAGAGTCTTTATCTCCTTCAAAGGTAGGAATCCAATCTTCTGTCCTCATTTTTGCTGGATCTGATATGTCTTATAAAAGTATTTATACCCCTTAGGCCTTGTACCTTTCTACCTCACGACCACAAATAAATGCACTCATAAAATAAAAACTAATAAATATCTGTGAAATGGAAGTAAATGCAAGGTTTGTGATCTTTCAGCTTCTGACAGGTTTTCCCTACAGCGTGATTCTGCTCACACCATGTTTCAGGTTTGGGGTTGTGTGCATTGTCAGTTTTCTGCTACAGAGCCTCTATTTCTGTCTGTGTCTCTCCATTTCCTTCTTCTTTTGCTTTCTTTCAACACAGTTGTGTTGTAGCCACACCAAGGTTCACATGAAAGTTGTACTTCGACAGACCTTCCCACCTGAGTTGTGGATCTCTGCAGCCTCTCCATTCTTGTTCTGTTTGTGTTTAACGCTCTCCTTGCCCAACTGCAGAGGAACAGCCGTGCCTTTGGGCTTAGCGGTTATGCCATACACTTTCCATGTCCACATGATGGATTGAAATTGTTCTGAGGTGTTTCGAAGCTGGACATAATGTTTTTTATCTAAACTTGCTTTAAACTATCCTGATCATTTCCTTCTGACGCACTGCCTTCTCATCTCCCATCAGTGCTATGTATGTCCCATTGATCTCAAATTTCCTCAAGTTACACTTTATCCTGGCCAATCGGTGAACAAAAGGAGTTTTTGAGCAAGAGTTTCTGTGTTGCTTTAGATTTGTAGTCTGCCCATGGTTGTAGTTTGGCAATGGAGAAAAGCCACTCAGTCCGTGTTGGTCCAGCTTCCAAATGTTGAGCGATTCAAGTTGGAGCAAGAGGAATATTTAAGACATGTTAATGCTGGCTAAGACATCACAGCCCTACATAGGACTCTGGACATCTTTCTTTGCAATGAGGGACGGCTGATTACAGTGCACGCAATTTCCAGCAAGCTTTATAGTGCAGCTTCCTTCGCAACCAAGTTTGCACAGTTCATATGTCATGGTCAAGCATTGGCAATTGGAAAAAAATCTGATCCAATCATTTGACATGTCAACAGAGTCCACACCTCCAGCAAACAATCATTTCTCAATAGCTGATGGGTCACGTGCTCCGGGTGAAGCAAAGCGTAGAACAAGGGGCTGGTTTTCACCAGGCTAGCTATAAACTTTGCCACAATTTTCTCTGTTGTTGTGAAGTCAACAACCAATACTGGATTTTATTTAGAGGAATGCATGGGAAACTTTTTTTTTCCCCCAAGAGTAACCAGCTTCAACAAATTTAGCATTCTTTCCCTTTCACTGCACAACTATGGACTGCTTAGTATGTGTCTCTCGAATAAAATCCCAATTAAATACATCAAAGTGACGAAATGTGAAAAAGTTCAACGGATTGTGAATATTTTCAAATGTTTTTCAAGCGTTTCCATCTGTTTGCTGCTTGAATGAGTGACGACACACATTGCCTAACTGCAGAGTTTGTGGCTTCGAGTTGTGACGGGTTTTGCATGGGAATAGCTTGTACAGCCTCGTCGGAGCAACACTGAGCAGACCGCAAACAAATCATTAGATTCCTGTAAGGCCCCCATCGTCACCACCGTCTCCCTCCTACCCAGACCTCAGGCTCTGTAATAACCACCAGATGCTTCCTCTGGCTTACAGTCCACAAACAATTAAAAAACACAATGACCAAGTAGACACAAAGGCGATTGTATATGACTCCTCAAGATTGTGAATACTCTCTTTTAGAGAATATTCATTTTTCTTGATGTATGTGCAGCAGCCTTGCACAAACTAGTACTTGCACCACCAAGGTTGGCGAGTCAGCAAGGAGCGTGCGGTGACCCGCTGGGCCTTTATGTGCTCCCTCCGTCAGGCTGAGGTAAATGTGTATTTCACGCGTGTGTGTGCTTTTCAGCGGCAGAGCAGATTAGAAGAGACGCGTCGCTGGAGGGTTCTCTGGAGGTTCTCCAGGGATCCTCCCGGGGGTTCGCCGGGACGCCCGGGCGAAGGTTGGCATTACTGAGAGCAAATTGCCGGGATCCGTCGTGCAGAGTGCTGTCCCCAGGACGCTGATCAAGTCTTTGATTAGCATCCAGAGGAAAGGCAGGAGCGCGCTGTTTACTTTGCTCTCCGTTTCCCAGAGCTTCCTCGGTGTAGTGCAAGTTGACTTAATTAAGTGGACTGGCACAGCTCATTGTTAAAGGCGTTTTCCTGCTTTAATCAAGTGGGATTTAACACTTCAGTGAGCACATGTCCAGAGCTCAGCAGATTTCAAACAGACCGAAAAAAAAAAAAACAGATATAATTTCTGCCTAATGCAGTGTTTATCTTATGGAGATGGGTTCTATTGCCCTTTTTTCTTTAATCTTTGAGGCATCTGATTAAAGGAGCTGCAATTTTGGTTGAATCCGAAATCATTCTGAATAAACCTGAAAGCAGCAGACTACAGTGGTGGACAAGAGGAAAAAGCTCCACTCTGCTGCTTACCTGTGTGTGTTTGCCTCTCTAGTCAATATGAATTTCACAGTCTACTGCTGCTGCTTCTCTCAGAGGAATACTCCCTGCTCTCCATTCAATAATATGGCTCTCTCTGCCTTAATTGCTTTTTGAGAGGCCTGTGTTGTCCTTAGCTTGGAAAGCTTGCTGCACTTCCCCTGACGCACTCTGTGAGGTGTTAAGTTTAGTTTATTTTTTCCTCTTTGCCTGAGCCGTTTGGGGGAAAAAATAGTGGTCTGAGGTGGAGCTTTAATGCAGTGCAACATGACGACGAGCGTAGCACGGTTTCTGTTTTTGTGTGGTGGCATTTACACAAAAACAGAAGAAAAACTATAGAACAGGAGTTCTACAGTGTTAATTTATCACTGAATAATTAATAGCCAAGTTTAGATTCAAGCAAAAAATATAGAATTGACATCAAATTTAAAAGTTTGTGGTTATTGCCTTGTAGGATGATGGGCTGGTCAAATAGGAGGTGACGACGCTCTCTGGTTACTTTCCTATGAAATTTGCAAGTTGAGGCGACAATCAATTGCCTTCCTTCAGACAAGTGGTTAGCAAAATTCCTAAAAGTGAAATTTCAGGCTCATATGCACTGCTCTGTTGCCATGAGGCGGCTAATAGGATAAAGGTTCAGCCAGGTTTGAAAAAGCTCCAGTTCTAAAACCATCAAACAATGTTCCCTCGTACAGTTCCTGAGGTTTAAAGTCATTTCATTGAGACTGCAGATGAATTTCTGGGTTGAACAATAATGTGGAGTAATGCAACATTGTCCCTCCCCTTCATGTTGCTGCACAATGCTGGTGAACTTGCTTAAAGAGGGCTCCTAAATTTTTACTTCCTTTAGAAAAAAAATAGAAATTCAGCTGTTTAGAAATATTTTCGGTTGAGAAAGATTCGGAAATTCATGGCGTGAAAGCCAAACGAGCGGCACTGGTAAAGCAACAGTTGGCGAGTTGCGAGCAGCATATCTGCTAAGTGGCCATTTGCAGGCTGGCCACACGTGAGGGCTAGTTACGCCACGCAAATGTCAGCAAAATGTATGTTACTTTATAAAGAGCAGACCAGCTAAAAGGATGAGCTACCACTTGAAATGCAGTATTTCATTCAAATGGTGTTAATTCCCAATTTGAATGAAATACTGCAACTCGAAGCCACAAACTCTGCAGTTAGGCAATGTGTGTCGTCACTCATTCAAGCAGCAAACAGATGGAAACGCTTGAAAAACATTTGAAAATATTCACAATCCATTGAACTTTTTCACATTTCGTCACTTTGATGTATTTAATTGGGATTCTGCTAAGGTTTATGGATCAAACAACAACAAAAAAACAAGCAATTTATGTAAAACAAATATATATATATTAATTATTGTAAACATGATAGAATATATCAATAGCAGAAGGAAGATATGTGTTTTTTCTGGTTTTAAGTAAACGATCATCATCATTTTTTACATTTGTTTTTAAATGAGGTGTTAACATGTGATGTAAGTATTTTTCACTCAAGGTTATTGCTTAGAGTTTAGATCAGGCCTAAAAATAGAACAGAATATAAAAGGGCGACCCGATCCGGCCTGAGGCCATCGGCTTTGTGTCTGATCCCAATCCGACTAATTAAGATTAATAATAGTGAAGTAAACCTGACATATTATTTTAAGTGACGTTTCACTGCTTTCGTTTTAAGACCAGTATTTTAAAAAGTGGTGTAACTTCTATGCTGCACGCTCCTCTATTGAGGCCTGTGTTAACAAGTAGATGACTTTATGTCACACATTCTAGTTTCGGTTTCTACGCGCTGGATGTGCTGGATGCTTATTAGATGAACCACAGAAGCTCAAGCCAATTTGGCCCAACTCATCCTGAATATCATTTTGAGTTGGCATCAGACTCGTACCATGAATGCAAACTTCATCATATCCTGAGAATCTGATCCCTAAGGCTGTTTTTGAAGCCCTTATTATTGTTATTATGTATTGGATCTTCCTAATCGGTTCATAAGTTTCCAGTCAGTCAAGATTGATTGCTCTGGATAGAAAAGGCTAGAAAGGCTCTGGATGGATAGAAAAGGTTGTCACTGTGAAAGTTGCGTGTGGCACTCAGGGTTGTTTTGAACACATGTTTCAAACTGATTAACTCGGTAGCTGAGGGATGAGGTTAAGAACCGTGACCTCCATCTGGGAAGCCCTCACTTTCCTATTAAAAGCAGGCAAAGTAAATCATGAAGCCTAATTGCTTTGCTTTAACTGTGCAGGTCTTGTTTTATGACAGGAAAACACCTTTTATTATTTACATAGAACCACCACCCATAAAATCCCTCAGCGAACATAGGAAACGCAATAAAAATTTGCCTGTTTATGCTCATTTTAATGAGATTACATATTTATAAAGTGTGGCAGATGAGTCTTGGAAGTGGACTTTGTTCAGGCTGATCATGTCTTCTGTCCTAATAAGCTGAGGAGAGGGAGAACAGGTTTCCTCAGGTTTAAAACCGCCAGGTGAGGA